CGGCGTGGGTGTAAGGAGGGGCTGCAACTTCATCTCTCTTCGGCGTTGGAACCACTAGCCCAGACCAACGCCCGGCCAGCCCGACCACGAAGTCCCACACCCGGTCCGTGGCCACACGCAGCCGTCGGCGCCACGGGTCTTGGGAGCGCCGGACACCTGCTGACTGTGCGGGGTCCCAATCATAAATCTGGAGACTAACGAACTTCAGCTCGACCTGCTGAAGGCACAGCCCCTCCCGGACAACGTGGCGGCAGTGGTTCAGAGCCTGAGGGCAAGCCGCCCGGACCTTCTGGCTCCCACTGCCTTGGCCTCCGTCCAGCCAGCCCGGCCTCCCGATAACCGTGCCGCCGCACCTGTTGTATTTTGTGTGCGTGTTGCTTTCAGAGTTTGCATGCGTCTTCGTTCCGTCTTGTGCTTGTGTTTTACGGAACCAACGGTCTCCCCTATAGTGCTCCAGAAATTTATGACCCAGAGAGGGAACATTCCACCGAGCCACCCGCGAACGCGAACGGGCAGGCGACCACGGACCCCTGTGTAAACAGCACCAGCTGCACCTCGGAGGGGCGGCTTCTCGTCACTCGACACCGTGTACCCTCTTTCTCCTTCTCTCGCGTCTTCCCGTAACGTTGCTATGAAATAAACAGTTCTTCTTGAGAGTTGAAAAGGTTCGCTTCGTGTCTGTCTCTCTGGAACAGCGGCTGGCTGATTCCGAACCACCATGTAATGAAGTTAGCCGGCCATTTAGTAACATCTCTTTACTACTACAATACAGCACCAGCTGCCGCAGCCCTCGTCGAACCCTCTACCACGATGGCCCCTACAAGATTGGCCGCCACCACCTCTTCCGGCGCAAGCCATTGGGCCCAGTGTCGTCCCTGCCCCCTTCGTCCCCTTCGACTTCCAACGACGCCATCATGACCGAGGTAGAAGAATTCCTCGGCCAGACAAGTGAGCCCCCGAGCACCCGGGGCCCCCCGGAGACCGGACCTTGGGGGGAGGGGGGAAGGGGGGAGTGGGAAGCCGAGGAGGAAAACGGCGCGCGGGGGGCAGATGCTGTCGCCGGCAGAGCGGCGTTCGAGACGTGGGCACATTTAGTTTGTGACGAGGCGCGAGCGAGAACGGCCGGCAACGCAGCAACGCCCGAACGACTGGGCGACAAACCAGATCCACGGCCAGTACTAGGTCAAGAAGTGAAAGGAGCAGTAAAACGTTTTCACACATCTCCTTGAACGTGTGACTTCTTGGGAGGGCGGACCAGGCAGGGATCGATTGGGCAGCAGTTTAATAGAGCCACCCACAGAGTCATGCACAAAGTGCTAAGATTAGCGCCAACGAAGTATACAAATATCCGGGTATCTCGACGTACCGCATTGTTATTTTCATATTATATTGGTATCTCCCTCTGGAACTTTGTGACTTAATTCAAACATCTTGGTATTCATATCACTTTTTACATATCATGGCAAGCTTGCGTTGATAACATTATTGCAAATACCACCCTATGCTAGAATGCGTGAAGCAAAATTTTACATTAGTATGGGATCTTAAGGTTATTTTTGTGTAAAAACTGTATTACATCAGAAATTAGAGTACGACGCATCGATCGGGGATCTCGGCCACAACTCTTGTATCTAACCTTAAAGGGCAACTCCGGCCAAAACTCAAATTACTGGTATTGCTGTAGTGACACAAAATACAGCCGCAGCCAAAATATTACGTCAATGGGACGCGGCATTCTCAACTAATGCCGATAATAAAAATGCGACCCGCCGTGAGTCGCTGCTCCTTAGCGGGCGGCCAGCGGGTTGCCGATGGCTCAAGCAACATTGGGCCGTGACGTCAGTATCGTTTTCTGTTTTTCCTCTGGTCCGGGCGTTGCGCGAAGTGCGCTTCGTTGAGCCGCTGCCACCGCTACTTCGGCTTGTGATTGGCGTTTTTAGCCGTTGCTTTTATCTGTAGCCCTGTAGCGTCGGTATAGCCTTTTGTTTATTTGCTTGTGAAAACTCCAAGACTCGTTTTAGCGAGCAACTCGGTGCGCCCAAGACTGCCAAGCTATTCCTCGAAAGATAGCGAGTGCAACTTGCAGCGCTTTGGGCTGCTCAAACAACCTGCTGCGCAACACGGAAGTGCTTTTTCACAAGTTTCCAACGGACCGGAAATTGGAGAAGGTGTGGATGAACGCTGTTCGACGAGTGGACTTTGGACTTCGGCTTTTACGCGCCCGAGAAAAAAAGAACGAAAAAACAGACGTGTACAGCCCAGCACACGTGTGTTCGGGCGCCGCGGCCCGCGCCGGAGAGCCTCAAAGCTTCGTGCCTCGGACTGACCCGCAGCGCGAAAACGAGAGGGCCCCCAGTACTGTACGTCACTGGCTGCGCGGCGTAGAGCAACGCCGCTCCATCCACGGAGCCCCGACGACAATTTAGGCCTAGCGACGAGTACGGAAGACCGCGCCCACGGCGACAGCCGCCGAGTACGGCACCGAACGAGTTCACTCGTTTTCCAGTCACTAGCTTTTGGGTATACAAGCGACGAGTACGGCATAGCGCACGCACGGCGGCGGCCGCCGAGTACGGCACCGTACGAGTTCACGGGTTTTCCAGTCGCTAGCTTTTTGGTATACACACTAACTCTTGCTACATACGCTGGATAACTACCACATATACAGAATTAAAATAAAATGAGCTTAACTCCTATCTTTAGATAGTTAGCGCAACAGAGGTAGGTGCCGCTCGGCCTGGGTACTCGTCGAAAGAGAACGATCTTGACGTCACGTTCACATCCCGGCTGATTTCCAGAGTTGCCGGGGCCTCGAGCGGCTAGCTCCGGTTTTATTGGCCGCGCCCCCAAACAATACTTTGAGGCGTCGATATCTTTAAAACTGCGCATAATAACGAGAAAAAAAGTACACCTTGCAATTCAGGGACGCTGACTGCACTAGAAACATTCATAATCCCTAAATCGAAAGTATGGACCGGAGTTGCCCTTTAAGAGCCTTCAAGATCAGGGTGCGCTATTTAATTTTTTTCTAGTAGTCATCATACCGCCCATGTTTCTTTTATGAATGCTAGCCTATAGACTACTTTTTGTTGTATTATGCATACCTCGTGATTGCGTGTGTCATAAAGTGTATCACACTAGCCCTGGTCCAAATGACAAGTTCCTTTCTTCAGCCCTCTCTGTATATTTCATATCGCATCAACCATCAATTCAATGTCGGAATTTATTACCATCGTATCACTGCCCAAATCTACTCTTCTATACACAGAGCTTCATCCAAATGGAACGAAATGTCGGCATATTTAGTGTTAATATCATAAATCGACTCTTATTAAGCCTGCCATAACCAAGATTTTTTGTTCATGTAGACCTTAAATGTTTATGTCGCCAATTCATATTTTATAATAATGTCGCTTTTATCCTGTATTTTCCCACTGCTGCGTAATGCTTCCGGTCCCTGAGGACATGGAAATAAAGAAAGAAGATAAACACCGGTGGCGCGATATCGGTTATAAATTTGCTTATTATTTATTATTTATACAAAATATTGCCGGATAAAAATACGTTTGAAGTAAGTGTACTTGAATTTAAGTACTTTTTAAAATAAATAGTTGTAAATCTTTGATAAATTGTAACTCAATAAAAATTACGTGTTAAAGTAGCCTACATGACCATTGTAAAAAGAAAGGCCGCATTAATGTTTATCAAGATAAATCACTCTTCTCGGGTATAAATATGTTGTATATATTAGTGGCCCTTCCGTGAGTTACAGGAATGGTCAAACTCCCCCAACCTCGAACGCTGAATGCATCACCGAGGTTCCCAAGCGGAGTGTGTCAATACGTCTATGACGATCTGTATCACGTTGCACTCCCTCCTCATCGATAGAGTATTAGGGAACCCAAAAATAGCGTGTTGCTAAAAGTGGTACGTCCGGCCCGAGACACTCACCCCCTCAGGTGTACAACCCCAAGACGCGGCCCACGTTCACGGTCTATTCCCGCATCCTGTACCAGCGCTATTCAGGTTAAGCTTTCATTAGCTCCCGTGATGGATGCCCCGGAGATTCGCCTAGCAGACTGACATCCGCTACCACTTCGGCGCAAAACACGGGGAATACGGCAATTACGTCCCCCAGTGACTGGCGCTACACTTAGCAGCCGGGTACTGGCGTCGCTCCATTTCCCATGTGTCGTAAAGTGCTGCCGTCCTGGATTTCTTTGGTCGCCTGCTTTCCCTTTTCCCCCACTCTCCCGAAGAAGGACGCGGTCGACGCCAACGCCGCCAAGCGCGTGACGTCCTCCGTGACGTCACGCGCCGTGTCCTCCCGTTTTTCTTTTCCCGGCCTCGCGGGTCGTTGGATTCGGAGTGCGCGGTCCTCGTCGCGGAGTCGTTACCACGTGCTCCGAGCTGCCTTTCACCGTCAAGGCGCTCCGCACAAAACGAGGCGACTACTTGTGTGTGCCGCGCGTCGCTTGTTTCCTCATCTCGGCTGTTCGCGGTCTGGCTTGGCGTTGTCGCAGTTACAGCGCACAACAGCCCGTGTTGCCGTCGCGTGTCCGCGGGAACCGCACGTTCATGTGGTCTGTTGGCACGGAGTGGCAGCGTGGATCTGGTTACTCGCACGTCACGTTGCACGCCGAAGGCTTAGGCGTCGTGTTGCCTGGATGTGCTCCGACCGCCTGCGTCTGTGAGTTAAGTTTGTTGGCCTCGTGGACGAAAAGAGCTCAAGAAAAAAAAAAAAAGGTTCACCCCCCTCAGTGTGAATCATCTTCAGTAAGCTTTTATATTGCTTAAGAAGACGTCACCTGGAATCATTTCTATCTTACGTCTTTAAAGTAAACACGAGAACACTGACACCCTTAGGAGTATTCATTTCTCACATCATAAGCTGAATAATTAAAAAAAAAAAAAAATCCGGGAACGTTTCAGGCTTTTTTTTCAAGAATGGAGTCTTTTGTCGTTGACATTTTGGAGGACATTGCCAACATCACCGGCTTCATGGAATCGCAAGACAACTATTCTCTTATTCTGGGGACGTTTTTAGCTTCTTCCAACTCTACGTCCGCGGTCGCTCCCAAGGCCAGCAGAGAACGTCAGTGGGTGCTACCAGCGTGGATACAACTTGTCTACGGAGTCATGTTCGGAACTATCGTGTTTGCCGCAGTGTTTGGGAACGCACTCGTCATCTGGAGCGTCCTGTCTCACAGAAGAATGCGCACTGTGACGAACCACTTTCTCGTGAACCTGTCGGTGGCAGACACCATGACGGCCGTGTTTAACGCCATCTTCAACCTGGTCTACATGCTGGAAAGCCACTGGGCCTTCGGAGAGCCGTACTGCGTCTTCAGCAACTTTATGGCGAACCTTACGGTGGCGAGCAGCGCTTTCACCATGGCAGCTATGAGCATCGACAGGTAAGGACAAACATTTTTTTTCGTTGACTTCTGAAGAAAAAGAAAAAAAAAACACTTAATAACTAAAGGTAGCTTTAAAAATGGTATTAAGTAAAAGCATTCAGAACAACTTTTGGCGCTAGAATATAAAATGCCGTTAGAGTAAGCAGATGTAGTTTATATATATTCGCAATGTAATGCATCTTGCGGGATTGCACGTAATTTTTGTGTCATCTTCTGCAGTGCGAGTATATTATTTGCGGCACGCATTTGACACGCGCAAAAGATGTTGAACCAAACATTTCCCAGTCTAATGCCGTTTATTGTCGGCGGTGGGAGGATATTTTACTGGTCAACTAATTGGTGGTGGCCTTATTATTCGGTTGAATTACTCGGCAGGTGCGCACGATTGAGAGGACCTCGTGGTTTATTGGTCACATTGATGATATCATGGTAGGGCCACGAATGCGACAGTGTTGTACCAATGTAATTTTACCATCATTCTTCGCAAAAGAGTTTTCATTTTATTATAATCAAATTGACAAACAGACAAGAAAAGAAGGCAACATGTTGATCAAGAAAACTGCATGATAAATAGTTTACATAATAACACGCTATTGAACCCATTTGGTAAAATAACCTAGTTATTATTAAATGCAGCCGAGACAACGACGTTGATATTTTATATTGGCTGGATTAATATGTACAGTTGTGCCAGTCGACATTATTCAGTATTACTCCTACTTTCAGATATACTGGTTAATATCCTAATTTTGGTGGTCCTTTTTATTTAATCTATACCCCATGTTGTTATGTACTGCGAGAACTCTGTGTAAATTCTGCTATTCTTAAAAGCTAGATGTTCAACTTAGCCCATCGTTCTCTTTAGTTCGTCTCACATGTTTTATTGGTGTATGTTAATAAACGGAGATATAATTTGTCAAACCCATGCTTGGAAAGCCATATTTCAAGTAATGATCCTGTTCCTGTTTACTTTTTTGTCGTTAGCGTTGCATTAGTTGCATATACCTTCTACTTATTTAACAGCAATGCGTAAGCACAAACCAATATATTTTGGTGTTTTTTTTCTTGTGTGTGTGATGCTATAAAGTTTAGCCTTCTGTGCCTCACTTGATTTATGTCATCTCAAAAGATTCATACTTTTCGAAACATTAAGATAAATATATTTTTTTATTACGTTACGTATTCTGCTACATCTCTGTCAGCTTCTTAGAACCGACCCACATGGGATAAGTTAACAATAATATGCCTTGTTTGTTGTAAAGCGTCCTGGTCTGACGGAATCCATCGAATTGCTGGATTCGAACAAGCTTACGTTATGGTTAGTTATGGTCATGAAATTTGTGTCATCGTAACTAAAAGACTATTTACTACAACGCATATTATATAGATTTTTTTTTTAAACTTTGGGGGAGCTGTTATTTTTATTCATATTACACATACTAGATTACTTGAATGTATAGGGAATACGCAGCTATTTATAAGTGCATACTTTACTAGACATGTTATCCTGCGACATCACGACATTAGAATACTATAAATAAAACATATCGTTTTTTGTTTTGTTTTTTCAAATTTTCAACGTCCAGGTTTTTGATTTAAATTCTGTCTGAGAAAACATGTTGGCGATTAATCGCCAAGTGCTCTAGTGGAGACTTTATCTAAGAGTTATTTTTGATTTTTTTTATTCCCATGATAAATGAAAATCTGAAATTAAAGATTTGGTTTTATATCTTACGGCTCGAATTTTACGATTAAAATATTTTGCTTCTCAAATCTGTTTTTTTTTTTTAAATTGGAGCAGCGCAGTTTGTTATTAACAATTAGTAAACTATACTCTTCTGAACGCGTATACTTTCTTAACTCAGCTATATTTTCATTCTTTTTTCAATTTATTTGATCTATAATAAAAAAAGACTCTAAAATTTTTATTGATTGAAATATATGCTAACTAGTTTGACTAATGTGGTTTACCTTTTCGCTCAATATTTGCTCAATATTTGCCCGGAGCGGAGAATAGACCCCTCTGTGGTGTCATTCGTGATAACCTGCATACTGCCCCTCTATGCAGTCGGAGCACGTACCGGTATTTCGTCCTTGGTACTTAATGGTGAGATGGCGGTGGGAAGAATTAGAAATGTGAGTAGCGATCCCGAGGAACATGTCGCCAGCATGTGCGGGATGAGTGCTTGAGCTGTGGTCTGAGCTGGTGACGCGCGTCATGGCACTTCTAACAGAAGGCGACGACGTCGCGTCGAAACAAAAATTCTCCGCATCGTGCCAGTACATAGAGCGCCTTAATACACACGCACTTTGGCTTGAGTGGCGACATCTCTGGCATTTTTCTGCCCAATCGTGGTTTATTTCTCTTGAAGTGCGCGATATCCGGTGCGACTAGCTCGAGCGCGTATCCTTTGTAAATGCTTATAGGCCATTTTACCGCACAAGCCACGCACCGAGTGCTCCACCGCATTGAGCGCGCTGATCCACTCAGTGCAAGATAGATTGTCTTCACCATGAGAGAGACGTACATGTAGGCACCCCAGTTATACGTATGGCGCCTCAGTGTGCTTCCGCTTAGGGTGATGCCATTGTTTGTAGTGTCCGATGCCGAAATACATTAGGGTCAGGAAGGAAATTCGTTAGAAGATAATAAACCTCTATCGGTATCTCCTTGAAGGCACTGCCGATTTTAAGCTAATTTCAAATAAAGAATAGAGCGGCAAGTACGCCAAATGTTATTTTGAAAAAATAATAACAAATTAAAGTGGAGAACCAAACAAGATCGTTAAAGGGATAGCCTAGGTAAGGAGCAATCCGAATTAGCGGCCTCTAATATGCTTGTGCTTTTAATGCGAAACCATTAACTGCCCCATGAAACGTAGCCGGCGTTGGCTGTAGCCGTTGTCTGTAGCAACGAAAAACGGCACCTAAATTCCCATTGGCTGAGCTAAACGGCAGCTAAATTTACCTTCCCAATAAAATGCAAAGAAAAGCACAGCGACGCAGATGCTTCGTCAAGGAAGCCACGTGAAGCCGGCGGGGTTCGCCGCGCCTGCGCAGTGGGGGAGCGTGTTGTCACTGCCGGAGCTCAGTGTGCGAAAGGAAGACGTGGCGCGCTGCGTGGGGGAATGCTCTCGCATTCCTGCACGTAAGCAATATTAAGTGTCTCTGCCGAATTAATATATATATATATATTAATTCGGCAGAGACACTTAATATTGACGAAATGAATCCCTGGAGAAGGGGAACAAAAGGGACAAAGGACAAACATAAGTCCTTTGTCCCTCTTGTTCCCCTTCTCCAGGGATTCATTTCGTCATTCTTGTCCAGCTCGCTTGCACCTTTGCATTTAATTGCATTATAATTATACACTTAATATTGCTATATATATATTAATTCGGCAGAGACACTTAATGTTGCTTACGTGTAGGAATGCGAAAGCATTCCTACACGCAGCGCGCCACGTCTTCCTTCCAAGAAGGAGAACAAAATTACCACTAATTATATACATATATATATAATTAGTGGTAATTCTGTTCTCCTTCTTGATCGGATGCCGACTGCATGCGCTTCCAAGAAAAAAATAGCAGATACACAGATAAAAGAAATGCTTCCGTAGCACTGTCAGTGGCAAGAGATCGTGCCGGGCGACGCGACGGCGCGCGCTTCGGAACCAAGAGGAACAAAAGCGGCAGGAACGACGGCCCGAGAAAGCATAGCCATTCGTTAGGCAAGCTGTATCGCGCTCCAACGCGTATTCATATTATAATCGTTTCGCCATCACGACTGGATCAGCATTGGGGACCGATGCCGCTTGTTTTTTTTTTACTCATTGAGCTGAATTAAAGATCGATGATTGGTGCTGAAATCCATTGTGGCGCAAGATGCACACATAATTTATTTTGTGCTTGGAAAACAACGTAAGTTTTTTATACAAAAAAGAAAGGACTGTGGTATAATTGTGTTTGAAGTGTGCACTTTCAAATTTTCAGTTTGCGGGTATGTCCGTGAAACATGTGGTAACACGAAAGTTTTACCAAATATAATAATCTAGAGACGGCTGTAAATGTTGTAAATTCCTTTATTCGAGAATTGTTTTTTGCTATTTAAATGATAAATTAATATATAAATGCACTGGAGCACTAAATTAATTTATTTTATACACGGTTTCACAGAAATAACGAGGTCATTTTGTTTTCTTATCTTCATTAACTTGCGTACCGAACTAATCTGGACGTCCTGTCCAATAAGTAAGACCACCACAATATAGTCTTCAAGCGGTGAATCAGTGCACAACGCTCGCTGAAAAATTGAATTTTACCAACCAACAAACATTGAATATACAAAAAAAAAATCGTATTAATTAAGGATGGGACGATAACCATTACGATTCGTGCTCAATTGTCTTAAATTTGCTATATATACTTATAAATATTGGATATTTGCAATTCCAACGGTTTCAGTAGCTGGCATTACACTATAACTAATTCAAACATATTGCGAATCCAGAGCGAAGCCTCCATATATTCATCGATTGTTTCTCTCGTGTTCGTTGATTGATGCAAGAACTTGATGTACAACTGCCGCACGTCCTGCGAACGAAATCACGTAGAGGTGTAACGTAAGTGCTTGTTTCAGGCATCTCCTCACTATCTCAACAGCATAACATCCACACATTTACCGAGGACACAATTCCAGATAAGGATGAGTGCACCATAGCCTCCTTTATACTCACACAGCCTGGCAGTTTGGCGACGAAGCCATAGAGTGCCCGGTCACAGATTTGGGGCGCGAGGATCCGGTAGCAGAGAGCATTTCTCTGGGAGTCTGGTAATCAGCGCACAGTTTTTGCAGCGGCGAGGACCCGATACACGGTTTTAAAACCCGACGAGAAACGAAGCGGTAGCGCGAGGAACGCAGGGAGCACGAGTGGACGTTCCATCGCTCGGGAGATTTGTGTTTCGGCGTCTCGCCGCAGCGGGGTGCCAGCTATATGC